AGCCATATTTCAACTCCACGACCGAATATATCTGGCTGAAATACTACCTCACTTGGATTTCTCGCTAAGAGGAGTCACTCGAAGAACATCTCATATGACTTCCTCATGAAGCGGAGTCATCCAAAGATCATATCACCTGATTCAAACCCTCGAAGAGGAACCACCTGAAGAATATACCACTTGGCTTTCCCGTGAAGGGGAGTCATCTAAAGAATTATTACTGGCTTAAACCCATGAAGGGGAGACATCCTTCATTTAGAGGAACCATTTTCAGCATAGCTCAAGGCGAGAAGGGCTATCTGTCAACAAAAACTTTCGAGTTCGATTCCATTCAACTCAAGGGTGTATCAACCGCATGGTAGCAGCTAGAAACTTTTTTTCGGTTGAAGATTAAACCGAGGTCTTTAACTCAAGAATAAGACCTAGGTTTACTGTGATTTAGCAACAAAGAACTATCTCCTAGCCTAATCTACAGCATAGCTCGAGGAGAGAAGGGTTATCTGTCAACGAAAACTTTCAAGTTCGATTCTATTCAGATCAAAGGCATATCAACCGCAAGGAACTACTTTTCGATCAAATTTTCACGGCAAGGTCTTTATACTGAGAATATGACCAAGGTTTACTATGGTTAAGCAACAAGAAGCCACTTTCTGATTCAGATTTCGAATTATGATTTCAACTTCAAAATGAAGGACATCATGTTCAAAGACAACTCCAGAATCACCCACAGTATGACTCAACAATAGGGAGCCGTCCTTTTTCAGAACTCAATTCCGTAGCAGAGGATAGTCGATAAAAGATTTGACTGTGACACTGAGTCAAATTTTAAGCTCAGAGATCAACAACTCTCACAGGAACAAGCTTGTTTCCAAGTCCATGTGCGCCGAATGAAAATTTGTGTTTGTTTTTCTTTGCCCTATTTTCGTTGCACGATAATGGGCAAAGAGGGGCAGTTGTAGTCACTCATTTTCATCCGGGGCTTATATATACTAATATATTTTTGTGAAAAACATTTTTGAGAACAGATAATTTAAACTTTTTTCTAAATCGGTTTTTTTTGAAAAAAATATAATATAGTTTTGAAAATATGTTTTAAAAAACATATATTATATAGTTTTGAAAATATTTTTGAAAATGTATAATATATGGTTTTGAAACATTTTCTGAAAACGTATATAATATAGTTTTTAAAAATACTTTTGAAAACGTATAATATATAGTTTTTTAAAAAAATTATTTTTGAAACGTGTAATATAATTTTCGAAAACATATTTTGAAAATATTTATAGTTACATCATATTTTTTATTTATTTCATTTTATTTTTATTCTTATTCTTTATTATCTTTGTTTTTTAGGGTCCAAAAGTCAAGGTTAAAAATCGGGTCCAATAGAAGCCCAATCGGGTAAAGGGCCTAACCCAACCCTAAATTGATTAGGCTTTTTTGGGTTCAGCAAAGGGGCACCGCAAACCAAGTCCCAGTCAAAGAGAACCGACCGTTCGAGAAACACAGGACTACACCATCCCGGGATTTCCGACCATATAAAACGACGGTAAGCCCGAGTAAATCGAAAACGAGAGAAACAACCCCATCAAAGTCAGAAACAACCCATCGAATGAGCCATATAAATACCTCCGGTTAGGCACACAAAGGAACAAGACACAAAGTCATCATCGAAACACCAACCGAGCAGTAAAGTACAAAAAAAGCAATATCAAGAAAGTAGACAAAAAGTCGAAACATTCAAAGTAAAAATCAAAGCAGATTTATCAAAAACATAGTATTCGAGACAACCAATAAGCTCCGATAATCACAAATAGCCTTCGGTTTAGCGTCGGAAGAGGAATAGTCACCGGAAAATGAGAGGTTTTTCGCTAAAAAGGGTAAAAACCCATGGCTTTTAGGCTATATCTACTTCGATCTAGAAATTATTTTGTTGTTTTGAGACTAGATTCGGGACCCGGGGTTGAGAGGAAGCTTGTGGGTGAGTTTGGGTTTTTCGGCCACCGGTGGTGGTGGCCGGAGTGGCGGTCGACGCGAAAGGGCTTCGCTGGATGGTAGTCAGCCATGGACCGATTGGGAATAAGGAGAGAGAGTTGAGAGAAAAGGGGAGAGCTGGATTGGGGAAATATGAGAATGAACGAATGTTAATTTTTTTATGTTTTGGGAGTATTATAGGGGGACCTTTGTGTAATTACAAGATTCTTAAATCATTTTCGCAGTCTCTGAAGGTTTGATGTGCAATTCATTTTGGTCACTTATCTCAATTTTGCGTCTGAATTTTCAATTAATTTGATTCAGCCCTTATTTATAATTTGATTTTTTGCAATTTAACCCCTCTAACTCTTATTTTTTTATTTGCAACACGTCTTTAGCATTAATTAAGTCCCTCAATTTAATTTGTTTCAATTTTCTCAATTGATTTTTATATATCTTTTAAAAAGAAACTTTCTTCGAATTATTTATATATTTTTGTCACGATTTAATAATTTTTGATTTTTTTAGGATACTTCTAATCGATTAAAGGTAAGTAATTCGAAACGAGTCTGTAAATTTTAGTTTAAACTTTAATTTTTGCAATTAAGACAACCGAGAAATTAAAATGGTACCGAAAGGGCAGTTAAAGGGTGCTAATCCTTCCTTAACTGTAACCAACTCCCGAATATGATGCATTTCTGGTAAAACGCAGATCATGTAAGATAGTGTCCGATCAACCAAAGTTTTTACAAAAAAAAAAAAAAACAAATAATCGATGGCGGCTCTAACGTTTTTTTTAAGTTGAAATCCAGTTCTGGACCTACCCAAAGAAAGGTTATGACAAGTATTTAGTCAATGATACATACATACATATATATAGTTATGATTAACTCCGAATTGCCTACTTACAGACTAAAATTGGATTCTTTTTTCAGTGATTAAATATTATTTTATGATTTTATATGAATAAAATAAAAGTTTAAAAGTTAAAACTGTGAAATTTTAAAAAGAAACGATATTTTAAATCTTTATTCATAGTAAATGTTTATCTAATTGATGTGACATATGTAAAAATTTATACATATTAAATATTTATCAAATTGATGTGATATATGTAACTTATATTACAAGATATACATATGCTATGGTGTTACAGACAACATAATGGAGGTGTATCAACATCATGATTGTATGACAAATGATGTAAACATTCTTGGAGAAATAACAAGAAAATATTCTTGGAGAGGTAACGTGTGCGTACCTTTAGAGAATTTTAGTTTTCAAACAGAGGAAATAGAACTTCGATATTTACTTGCATTAGAAGTGTTATAACACTAATATGTACTAAGAGAGAGTTGCCCCTAGTACATGTTTTCTTCATCGAATCAAATAAGGTCTTCGATCTAAAAAATGACCTCGATGAATCCATCTTTCTTGTAAGAATTCAACCCTAGATCTAACCAAGGTCTTTCCGAAAATATTATCATTGATGCCTCACATGTATTCATCACCTGCCACAAGTTAGGAAAGCAAAATTAGCAATTTTTTAACAGAGGATATGTTATGGAATTGCCAAAGATATTTTAGAAGAAATGAGAGGTTTCATCCTGATTGATTATTTTCTGTCATTATATTTTATGCGTTCATCGTACTAATTGTTGATGAGAATATATGAGTTATGTCAATCGTTTATGATTTATCCTTTTAGGTTTTGACGAAAAATAATACCTGATGATTTGTACAATGATCGTTGACTGATGTCGAGATACTTTGTACCCATGAGATAGGAAAGGAGAATAATGGGTGAAGAGTAGTTCTAGTCTATTTTCTCGATCTTAATCGAGGAATTTTATAATGACTTTTAATGTTTATTAGACATAAAATAATTATAGCTAATTATATACTATTATCCTGATTAATATGATTAATTACTCATTAATTTTAACTCTAACAGAACATATAAATTTGTCAAAGTTATATCAAAGGGTCATGTCAGGAGGGACAACTTCCCTAAGAATACAAAGCCACATAGCTTTTGTGTTCAAAAATGTTTTCTAGGAATTCTCACTTCGGAAACGTTCTAGAAAAAGTACAACAATAAGAGATATTTTTTACTATATTATAAAATATTTAAAGTTAATACACTGTGGATATAGCTTTTTTTAATTATAAACAAAGATAAAAAAAAGTTTTATAAATAAGATAGGACTATCAAATGTTGTACCTTGTCTAAAGGTCTCACTATAATACACGTTGTAATTTGTTTTATAAATAATATTTACTTCGATTCACAGTTCTTCTAAATGTATATGTTTTAATTTTTAAAATCGTCTCATTCAAATATTTTATTAATGAATTCAACAAATAACAATATTTATATTTTTTTTTTATCTGTGTATAACTCACTCTTTTATACTTATCAAAATAAATCTATTAAACCTATTAATTACTTTTTAAGGACAATTTTTTCATTTTCGTTGTCAAATATATCCTAAAATTATTGCATAATCAATATAAATACAAATTATGGAAAAGAGGGAGTACCAAAATTTCCATTCAATTTTATATAAAAAATTATTATAAAAATGTCACCTATTTAATTGATCGGAACATATGGGTCCATCGGTAGTATGAATTACCTTCTTTTTAGGGTTAGTTTGAAACATCTTTTCGAAAGTAAGCGACACTATCGTCTACCATGAGTAATTAAGGGGGCTAGAGGGTCAAATATGGATTTCACATTTAACCATCACCAACAAATAATTAAGAAGCAAGGCTTTACTTGGATATCTATATGTCACCATCACCCACAGTTGCACAGATCCCATGACACCAAATGCCAGTCTGGCTTCCCCTACCCACCCCCATAATTTCATATTATTGTGGGATTGCTTTATTTCCACTCCACCATTGTCTTTATTTCTCAAAAACTACAGGTATAATCCCAAGTTTAGACAAGTAGTTTTTCGATGTAGTTCATGGAAAGATCTGTTGGAATAGTAGATATACTAAAGAAAAATAACAGAGCATAGGCCCTATATTACAGAGTTAGAATCCTTGGAAGAGAAGAAATCCGGTCGGTCGGGGTCGACAACCCTTCCCGATCATTAGATTCTGATCTAAGGTTAGAGTTAAAATATGTATTTAAATTATACAATGCTTGACAACATTCATAGTTGCTCACCCTTTGTGTCACTTTCAACAGTTTTCAGTCTCTTTGCTGCGGTGATGAATTCCGAAATCACTTGTACCTCATTCAGTGGTCGCTGCATATATTAAAGGATGTTAGATTCAAGCGAAGAAGCATAGACATGGCCTGCATGATGCATACATATATGTATGTGCATGGATGTAAAAAAGAGAACCAGGACCTGCGACACAAAATGCTGCTGCACAGTATTAAGAATTTGTTCCCTTGGTGAATAAGCATTGATGCCTCCCTACAATTCAAAACAAAACAACCCTTTCTTGGTGAACATGATTTCATCTACATCCTCGAGGAAAATTCATCGGTTAGAGTTCGAAGGACGTACGAGTTTGAAGTGCTTGCAATATCTTCTCAACGAGTTGGTATTGAGTCTTGCCAGATTTACCTTTGAAATCGGGAAACACGTGATAAAATACAATTAGAAAGTGTTTGCTGGATCAAGGGCATGTGGCAATGGTCAAAGTTTGGTGATACTAACCGATTGTGGCGCATGAATAATGGATCGAACATCCCTGTAACCATTACGATTCATTGGTTCATGGATGCAGATGGAACCCAAGGCTTTGTATGTCGAACTCTTGGTTTCGCCGGCCTGTGGAACTCAATGCTACTAGCTGTTCAAAGCAAAGAAAAAGGAAAAGAAAGGGGATGATCATCATAATGTTAAAAGCAACACAAGAATGTTTGACATCATTTGACTTACAGAAATCATGATCTTTGTCACCAATGTCCGAGCCACAGCTTGAGTTGTCGAAATCATGATCATCGTCTACTTCATCACCCGTAGGATGTTCCAGCACACTCAATGCATTTCTTTGCAGCTTAACTTCAACCCCATTCTTCAAAACCTTGAAAATGTTGGGTACTAGTGTCACAAAATATGATTCTTCCACATAATAAAGGTAACAAAGTGCTCTCTAGCAAAGTATTACACATCAGTTTCTATCATCAAATGGAAAAAACAAATCTAATCATCATAGTTTCATCAAGGGGAAAAACACCATAACTAAGGTGATTTTTGGTCCATCTTATTCTAGTAAAACTGATTGGTATAAACCAACAGGTTATTCAAGTGATAAGCAGTTTGATATCGCTTAAGCAAGTATTGAGTTCGAGGCCTTGTATATGCAGAAAATCTAAGTTGGGAGACTCACTCACCAAACCATATATGCGACATGGATCAATCGGGATTAATCAGGACAAAACCCTAGGAAATTGAGTGGGCAAAAAAAAAAAAACTAATTGGCATAATGTCAAATTTCACGTTGTAGTCATTTTTACCGCTATTATTTCTTTTAATCACTATAACCCTCAATATTTTTATTTTAGTCAAAATGACTTTATTTTAGTCAAAATGACTTTTATTTAATAGAAATCATTGTTGACTACCTATCAACGTTTGTTTTTGACGTAACACATTTATATGTATTTAAACAATTAACTACATACGGAAACATCAGGTCAACAATTAAAGAGCGTAAATGTATCCGTTAACAATATGCATCGACCATTAGTGAATTAATTTTTTCATCTAAATAAAGGGAACAATATGTGCTTACAGGTCATTTATATGTCATTTATATCTGGGAGGGAATCTTTTGAGCATAATGGAACATCAAAATCATTAGTTATTAATGAGAAGCATCAAACAAGGATTTTAGAAAAATAATAATGAGAGGAAAAATACCAGCCAATGCCAACCACCGAGGCCCACAGCTTTCTTGACTACGCCTTGTAAACCAACCAAAACTGACTTTGTTCGATTGTTTCCTGTCACAATAACTTTTGTGTGCCTTGGAAGAATTGAAAGCTCTTCATCCCCACTCTCTTCCCTGAACGGAGACAGCACCCGAGATGAACATAATTCATGCTCCAACATCTTTTCTCAACCCCAATGTTTCAATTCTCAAAACCCAGATCCTCGAAACTGCACTTTTGGCTTGGGACCCGATAATTCATTAAGTTGTGTTTTTCTAATAGACAAGAAAACCTCTTCAAAAAAAGGAAAAAACAGGAACTTCAAAGAAGAACCCAGAATTTGAAGCCAGAGAAGATAAGGATTGGTCGCTGAAACGAATATTTTGAGGAAGATTTGAATGTGAATTTGGCTTAGGAGAAACCAAACACTGATTCACGGGACTCGGATTGATCTGAGGAATGCTATCTCGTAACTAAGTTTCTTCTTGACGAGTCATGCTGGTACCACCTGAAAGAAGCAATTTTTTTTGTTAAAATCCTTTTATGTACTAAGATTTTGAAACAATCAAAGCTGCCATGCCATGTTTTCTTTAATCAGACCCGTGAAAAGAAGTAAAGGTTTCTGTATGGCTGAATTGTACATATCAATAGCGAACAAAAGCTGTCCAAGGTAAAAAAAAAATATTATGTTTGGTTGTTGAGAGAATTTAACTACATAAAGAAAGATAAAGAATCAAAACCATAAAACAAAAGTTATAAAAAGTTTTTAGTGAATGAAAAAGGGGGAAACCCCATTTAACCATATGAGGTAAGCATTAGAAATTCAGCTTCAAAACAAGAAATTAAAATTGGGTACACTTCTGAACCCATTAATCTGAGGAATAAAACAAGAGAGACAGAGAGAGCAAGAGACAAAAAGTAGAGGTAAATTCTCCTTGCTGCAGTTTCTTCCAGGAAACTAGAAAGAGAAAAGTTGAAAAAAAAGTTCAAAATATTGGTATTAAACAGAGCAATGTTTGTAATTTTCAAATTCAAGATTATAAGAAAACAATAGCCCAAGGTGAGAAGTAAGAAGTTTTTGGGTAATACAATCAATTCAAACATTATATCTGATAAGAGACTATGCATTGAATAAACAGAAAATTAAACATAACAGATCTGATGTACCTTCAAGAGCACGAGAAAAATGACGGCAACAGAGTACGAGTATTGGATTTGGAAAAGAAAAGGATTTTGTAACGGGCCTGAACAGAATGATGAATAAAAAGAATGGATAAGAAGATGGGAAAAACGGCTAGGAGTTGAGCAGGAAAACTGGAAAATGCACAGCTTTTGAGAGAAAAGTTAATGGGAGAAATCCATGAAACACGAGAAAATGCAGTGGGAAAAGAAAAAAAAGGAAAGTAGAAAAGAATTCATGAGAGAGAGAAAGGAGGTAGGAAAGCACACTAAATGCTTACCAACTGCCATGGAAACGACCTGCCATGTGCCGTACGGTCACTCCTTTCTCTTTCTTTAGTAACCGGCGATTCCCGGTTAAAATTAACCGGATAATCCATACGGCAAATTTACTTAAAAATCACTAAAAAAATAAAACTTTCTGATTAACATCATTTTCTCAATAATTTTTGAACTAGCACCATTTCTGAAAGAATCGGGCGAAGGTGCGTTTTGTGAAACACGCCTTGCTGAGGTGGAGGAAATGCACGTTTCAGGGTATATTTTCTATGAGTTTTTGTTGATGTGATGCCACAATAGGAAGGCGAGTTGTATGGGGCAAGTCTTCGTGGGATTTTTGCACCACACAAGAAGTTACAGTAGCGCCTTCATCTTACCCAAACCTCTCGCCCGTTACTCTCGCTAAACACCCTCCCCCTCTCCCTATATAAGTCTCACCCTATCCAAATAAATCACGCCAATCTTAATATTTCTTATCTTTCGCTAATATTTCGTATTAGAAATTTTTAAGATAAATTTAATTTGATTTTCTTAACATATTTATTGAATATATTTTATTTTATTATTGTTTAATTGTTATTTTTTTATTTTCTACACTTATTAAATGGAAGGTGGGATGTTGCGTGGTAAAAAAAAAATTAAATTATGTTATTTTAATTTTTTGAATATTTTATTAATTGTTATTTTTAATATTAAATTATGTTATTTAATTTTTTTAAAATTTTTATTAATTATTTTTAATATTATTTCAAATTTTAATTCGTTGAATGTTTATTAATTAGGGAAATTATCGTATATTAAAAGTGTGTATTCGTAACACTAAGATGGACAACCACATCGTATGTGAAGGTATTTATCTGAGGCTAGATTTGGTTACATAGCCAAAATTGTTGGAGGTTGTAACTTGAACCACCCTATTTTGCACTAAACGAGAGGTGGAGACAAGAGGCACACATTCTATCTTTATGTGGGGTGTGCACCATTACCTTGGAGGATGTTCCAATGCATTTGGAGCTTTTGGTAGATGAAAATGTTACTTGTGGAGTGGCAGAATTTTAATTCGTTGAATGTTATTAATTAGGGAAATTATGTATATTAAAAGTGTGTATTCGTAACACTAAGATGGACACACCACATCGTATGTGAAGGTATTTATCTGAGGCTAGATTTGGTTACATAGCCAAAATGTTGGAGGTTGTAACTTGAACCACCCTATTTTTGCACTAAACGAGAGGTGGAGACAGAGGCACACATTCTATCTTTATGTGGGGTGTGCACCATTACCTTGGAGGATGTTCCAATGCATTTGGAGCTTTTGGTAGATGAAAATGTTACTTGTGGAGTGGCAGAAATCCAATTTTGAAGAGTTCAACAAAAATGCTTTGGAGGATGTTCCAATGCATTTGGAGCTTTTGGTAGATGAAAATGTTACTTGTGGAGTGGCAGAAATCCAATTTTGAAGAGTTCAACAAAAATGCTTCCGAGAATGAGGCAAAGCATTTACCCGGACATACATATTATGAATCATAGAAGGGATCTTGATGTCCTACAAATGTTGTAACCAAGTTCGTTGTATGTGATTACGTCACTTGACCGGTTTTGAAGTAGCCGACACATTGAGTTAAGGCTATGTAGTTTTGGAATTTCTATTTAAAGAAATGTGTCGGGCAACGAATTATAGTAAAACTGCAATTGGCGGCTGTCTCCTTATTCTCCTATCATGGGAGTGGTATTGCATGCCTTTTTTATGTTCGATCGTAAACAAGCTATTTGTCTTCCTGTTATTATTAAGGCAATTTCAATATTGAATTAGTTTATAAATAATTTTTGACTAAATAATGGAATATTTTTATATTAAATAGTTGGTCAGCAACAAGAAAAAATCATCGTGATATCCCTGATGAATTAAAAGATATCCAATTACTCATTAATCAAAAAGTTGTTCATGGGTAAGCCTTTAAATTTTAATAATTTTATTTAATTTTCTTTATATTGTTGGGATTTCCGAAAGCTCGAATCGACAACCGAAAGGGTTTGCCAAGAGGGGTTGAATTGGTTTTTGTTTAGGGAGTAAGGAGATTAGAAAGATAGAAAAATTTGCACAACGATTTATAGTGGTTCTACTTCTCAACCAAGTTTACCTCCACTACCTTAGCTCCTCACCAAGGATTTTTTTAACAAATTCACTAATTTGTTCTTTCTTTTTACAGGATCAAGAGATAACCTTTACACTCCCTAGTTTTTCAATGGCTAAACTAGAACCAATCCCCTTTTCAAAGGATAAAAAATGTAAACAAGTAAACCTCTCTAAGGTAGGTGTTTACAAAGAATTAAGC